ACAACAAACCACCTTCCATAATAACAAGGCTACCATCCATTGGAGAACAAAATCTCAACAACGAACTACCTTCCAAAATGACGAGACTACCATCCATTGGAAGAAAAAAAATCTCAAGAACGAACTAACTTCCATAATGACAAGGCTATCATTCATTGGAGTAACAAATCTCAACAATGAACTACCTTCCATAATGACAAGGCTACCATTCACTGGAGTAACAAATATCAACAATGAACTACCTTCCATAATGACAAGGCTACCATTCATTGGAGTAACAAATCTCAATAATAAACTACCTTCCATAATGACAAGGCTACCATTCATTGGAGTAACAAATATCAATAACGAACTACCTTCCATAATGACAAGGTTACCATTCATTGGAGTAACAAAATCTCAACAACGAACTACCTTCCATAATGACAAGGCTACCATCCATTGGAGTAACAAAATCTCAATAATGAACTACCTTCCATAATGACAAGGCTACCATTCATTGGAGTAACAAATATGAATCTTCTCTGGGAGCCATCAGATTCACTGGGGGAAGTACAGTTTGCTCAAATAAAGAGATATGCCACTTGTTGCTATGAGAAGGAATTGCAATAAAGACATCCTGAAGAAAATATAGCTTCCCGGGGAAAGAGATGGAAATCCTAGAGAAATGCCAATAAATTCATGCCGAGGAGATAAAATCTTCTTGAACAAAATAAATGCACATTCTCAAACTAAAGCTCAAAGCTTGCCGAAATCCAAATAAGAGTATTGCTGAGGGTACCCACTGCAAATAGAAATAAACTGGAATGAAGCAGTCAACTAAAATACATCTCCTGAGAAATAAACTCAAGAGGGAAACCCATTCCATCCAGACAACGAGCTGAAAAGAAGGCTGAAACAAAATTCTTCCATGAGGGATAAATCAATGGGGAAGTTGAAAGAATATACACTTTCTGCTTAAGATTGACACTCTATTGGAGAAAGGGTAACACAACTCTGCAAAATAGGGTAATATACCAACAAGATATTAAAAAATGCAAATGAGCAATGATTATGCATGATGCTGGTATGAAAGTATGAATGTTACCATGTATAGGCTGACAAAACAAACATATGACACTGGGGGTACACACAAGAGCAAAAATGGGTACAATCAATACTCAGCTAACTCACAAACAGGATGGAAATTCCATAAGATAGTAAGCACCAACTGAGGAAACAAACTCCTATTTCAAATCTTAAATTCACTGGGAAGGAACAAGATCAATAACAATAAATTAACACAAACATGGCGATATAACATCTTCCTCCAAGTTTCACCGGGGAAACCACACAGACTCCAGCGGGGGAGACAAAATGTTTGAAGTTCACACTTCTGTCATGGTTGATTTTACTAGGGAAAACAAAATCACATCATTGAGACATCAGTTGGGGATGACGTACTGACTTCATTGGGGAGGGTAATACTATATCAACGAAGGAGACATCAAGATACATTCTTTAATAGTGATGATTGCACCAACCTCTATGAGGAGAAAGTATGAAACCTCATAGGGAAAACAGTTTTAGATAAGTATATCATCTCAACTTCACCTAGGGAACTCAAGAAGTCAAACACTACAGCGAGAAGACTTATGGGTATTTTAAATCCAATCCAGCACTTGGCGGGAGAAAACCCAAAAAGTTGATAACCGTTTCAAAACTTCTTAAATAAGACATTGCCCTTGTCTGATTGTCGGGAAAACAAACAAAATGCTAGTACTGCCAAAAGGAGATGCTTTTCTAATGAGTCCAACTCAACATGCACGGGGAGGAAAGACTTTTATTATATGATTGAAGCCTTCACTATGGAATCTTGGACAGAGTCTTCATATCATGCAAACCTTTGAGTTTATCTGTCCCTGAAGCACTAATTTTGTTCTCCTTGTATCATAAAATCTAAAGCAATAGGTAATTTATAAATTCTTTTCAAAAATAATTTATGTTATTTAATATGTTTTCTTTGATCATTGCTAAATAAATGAAATCTTTATAGGCTGAATAAAATAAGAATTACGAAGAATTTGATAAAAGGCTCAAACTTTATTAATAGAATGGTAGTCTATGAATGGCAGGACTCCATAGAAGATTACAAAGTTTGGAACATGGTAATATATATTGGAAAAGATACATTGAATTACAATGATCACTATTCTCCCTAACAACTTCGAATCCTGAGCCAAAACTTCGGTCGAAGAGTAGTAAGATCCAAACAAATTGTTGCTCCATCGATCAAGTCTTTTCTGATGCAGTCACTTGCCAGAAAATCCCTAACTTTTGCCTAGGTTTCCCTTGTGGGTTTTCAACCTACCGGGAAAGTTCATTCTGTTTATGTCTCTAATTTTTGCCTAGACCGCCCTTTCGGGTTTTCGGCCTACTGAGATGCTCTTTTTTGCCTAAGTCGCCCTTTCGGGTTTTCTTCTTAGCGAGCTGTTCTTTTATTTTTTTAGGTGAAGTATTTCTTGACTGCATCAGCATTTACAGGACGTGGGAACTCCTCGCCATCCGTTGTTTCAAGAATCAATACACCTCCAGAGAAGGCTTTCTTGACAACATATGTGCCTTCAAAATTCCTAGAATCAATATTAAAAGACATGATCTTCCTGAGTACGAGATCGCCTTCTCTGAATTCACGAGGTTTGACCTTCTTATCAAAAGATTTCTTCATTCTCTTTTGGTATAATTGACCATGATACAAAGTCGTCATTCTTTTCTCTTTTATTAAATTCAGCTGGTCAAACTTGTTTTGGACCCGTTCAGCTTCCGACAACTTGGCTTCCGTTATTACACGCAAAGAGGGAATCTCAACTTCAATGGGGAAAACTTCTTCCATGTCATATACAAGAGAGAACGAGGTTGACCCTGTTGAAGTGCGCACAAATATTCGATACCCATGTAGAGCAAAAGGTAGCATTTCATGCCAGTCTTTATAAGTAACAACCATTTTCTGGATGATCTTCTTGATGTTCTTATTGGCCGCTTCAACAGCCTCATTCATCTTTGACCTGTAGGGAGATGAATTATGATGGACAATCTTGAACTCCTCACAAAGTTCAGACATCATTTTGTTGTTCAGATTTGAGTCATTGTCGGTAATAATCCTGCTAGACACACTATACCGACATATGAGGTTGTTCTTGATAAAACGCACTACTACATGTTTAGTGACATTAGCATATGAAACTGCCTCCACCCATTTGGTAAAATATTCAATTGTCACCAAGATAAAACGATGCCCATTTGACGCCTTTGGTTCAATCATTACAATCATGTCAATACGCCACATGGAGAAAGGCCATGGGCAAGAAATAAGATTGAGAAGCGTCAGGGGTATATGAATTTTATCAGCATAAATCTGGAATTTATGGCACTTCTTTGCAAATTTGTAACAGTCAGATTCCATTGTCAGCCAATAGTAATCTGCCCTAATCATCTTTTTCGCCATTGAATGACCATTGACATGGGTACCAAATGAACCTTCATAAACCTCATGCATCAACATGTCTGCTTCATGTCTATCCACTCATTTGAGCAAGACCATGTCATGATTTCTTTTATACAATACATCTATGTTACAACTGGTTTTTAAATAGAGTCGCCGCCTTTAATTTTTATCCTAAAGAAAGGGATTATAAAGGAATAACCCTAAAAGAAATTCAGAGATTCTAGGTTTGAACTCGGTTCCAGACGAGGGGAAGGTGTTAGGCACCCCCTCTACCTTGTTCACAAGGATAGTAGTTTTAGAAGCGCGATGTTTTAGGAAATAGAGTTTTAATTATTTATTAAGGAAAATAATTTGAATTTTGGTTAGCAGAACTCGCCACGATTTTTGATTGTATGCCTACGTATCCTCTTAGGAGGAATCAGAGTCCCATTTTATAGTTCGTGGTTGATTTGTGTTTTTTATGGATTGCGAAATATAATTGAATTTCCCGCATATGTAGTCTAAGAGTGTGAATAGTGGAGTTTGTTAGACCAAGTACGCAGTTGAATGAGATATATTTGTATTCCTTTTCAAAAACTAATGTTGAATTAATTTATTACGAAAAATAATTTGATATTTGTTTGAGTATTTTTTAGACGTATAGGGAAGGATTCTGATATAGTGTCCTCATCACGTGGTCAAATATTGGCCACGTGTTGCTTGTCATGAAGGATGCATAGGAAGTCTGATATAGTCTTCCTCATCACGTGACCAAATATTAGCCACGTGTTGCCCGCGGATGGTGAATTTGATGAATTACGCGAATTTTAATATTTTGACGTGAAATATTAAATTAACTTAATTTTATTATTTTTATGAGAATTATCCAAATTAACCTAAATCCTAATGATTAAATTAATTAAATAATATAATTAACTAAAAAAAAGCATTTTAAGATTTTAGTAGATTTATTCCTAAAACTAAACCTATTTTCCTATCATTACGTTTTTACTATCTTAAATCTACCTAAAAGCCAAGATTAAAAAAGAAAATTCTAACTAAAAGTAGATGCATCAAAGAAACTATTAACAAAGGACCTCCCCATATTATTTTCACAAATATTCTTATTTTTTAGACTTAAAAAAATGGTGAATGCCTAAAAGACACATGACCTTTTTAAAATGATAAAATATTAAAACAAGAAACAACATAACCACACGTTATGAGGTAGAAATCAATTCCCAATATTTTTTTTTTGGTAAGAACGATGACAGTACTCATTCTCTTTTTCCTTAATCTCTCTCCATTCAAATCTCACAACAACTATTAAACCACATCCCAAATCTAATAAGAGTTTTCAAAACACAATACAAAATATGGAAAAGAGAAAACTAGAAAAAAATTACCGGTGGTGATTGATAGAATCGGCATGGTTTGTATGAGGCGATTGACGTCATCGTGTTGGTGCTCCAGGTGGTGATGTGGCGGGTGAAGGAAGCTTAGTAGTCGTGGTGTGGTCTGGATTGATGTCGCGGTGATGCGGAGTTGTCGGTGGCGTCGGTGTGGGCGAGGCGCGGAAGCGATTCCGGCGCGACGAAGGTTGTGTCGTCCGCGAGCGATTCAACATTTGATTTCCATTCGACGAGAAGTGATTGTGTTGAGTTTCTCGATACTGCGAGGAATTAGAGATTCAGAGACTCTTTCTTCTTCGTTTTTGTTATGCACTTTTCTGGTTTTCTATTACTTTCCTGTGTTGATTCTTTTACTTGACTCTGAAATGCTATTGTTTAATTATGTTCTGGATTTGTAATGTTTTGGTTTATGAAACTTGATGAAGGTAAAGTTTTGTCGTAAAAAAGAATGAAAAGATTGGTATGTGTTGTTAATATGGTGTTTGAAATTGTGACTGTGAAAGTATGTGATTGAATTTGAATTTATGGTGAGACAAAGTTATGTTTTTTATGTAGTTTTTGGGTTAAATTGCGATGAAAGTTTGGTTGAATTATGGTGAAAGCCGTGATGTGATTATGGTGTGGATTTAAAGGGAAATTTGTGAATGTTTAGATTTTGAAAACAAAGTTTATGTTACTGTAAAAAAAAGTTAGTAAAGATAGAAAATAGAGATTATGAAAAAAAGGGTTTTTAAAGAGTAGGTTTTTCTGTGTCATAGTTACTATTAAAAAAACTATTAACTAATATATTTGTAAGTAGAAACAACATCCAAGAATAATTTTATGAAAAAAAAAAGAATAAAATTTTTAAAGGAAAAGAGACTATCAAATAGTCATTATTTGGTTGAAAATAAATTTTTTTAAAATGAAGAATGTTTTTTAGAAAAAATTTGTTATGAAGTGTGAGTCAAAAATAGATTTGTAAATTTCTAAAAAAAAAACATGTTCGAGTGAATAGTGTGTGAAGAATGTAAGTTTGAAAATTGGCCTTATTGAAAAATCTTGTACGAAAATATAGTGTAAAAATAAGCAGAAGAGAATTGAGTAAAAGTGCAAGAATCAAGAGAATTGAACTCATGATCTCATTCTTGCAAGACTCATTCTTTACCAATTATGTTATGTTACTTATTTGTAAATAATCTCAATTAAAAATATATGAAGGGTGTGCAAATATTTGCTATTTTAAAAATAAAAATAATTTTAAAATGAATCATTATATTTTTAAATAGGTTTGGAAGAAAATATTTACAAAAATCAAATAATATTATAAAAACAAAGTTTAAAATATTTTTGATTGGACTTGAGAATGAACATCTATAAAAATCAAATAATATTATAAAAACAAAGTTTAAAATATTTTTTTCTGAACTTGAGAATGAACATCTATAAAAATCAAATAATATTATAAAAATAATATTTTAAAATATTTTTGACTGTAGAAATAAAAGGGCGGCAAATTTGGGGTATGACAATCTCCATTGAGGAAAAAGATGTCCGCCAACCTTTTCAATGTCTTTCTATCCTTATTTGATGCACAAACTGGGTATTCTTGAGTCTGAAGAAAATGCTTGATATCAATACCAAGGTTTTTCTTCTACCACATCCTCTGTTGTAAACACATGAGCCTGTCTATCCAAATGTCGTATCGTAATACGAGGCACATCATTCCAAGCATTAACTTGATACATAGAAGCCATAGTTGGCAAAACGTCCGCCATCTGATTTTCATCTATGGGAATATGATGGAATTCAACTTTGTTAAAGAAGGGTAATAATCTTCTAGCATAACCTTTGTAAGGGATCAAGCAAGGGTGACGAGTATCTCATTCTCCTTTAATTTGATTAACAACCAAATTCGAATCACCATACACATCTAGAACTTTGATTCTAAGATCAACGGCCTCCTCGAGACCCATGATACAAGCCTCATATTCCGTCATATTATTAGTACAATCAAATGTCAGCCTTGCAGTAAAAGGAGTGTGTGATCCATACAGAGTGATGATCACCGCACCAATTACTTTTCCGTAAGCATTCACTACTCCATCAAATAGCATGCCCCAACGAGATTCAGGATCAGGACCTTCCCCAGGTAAAGATTCATCACAATTTTTCACTTTCAGAAACATAACATCCTCATCAGGGAAATCATATTTAACATACTGATAATCATCTACCGGTTGGTGAGCAAGATAATCCACCAGCATACTGCTTTTTATAGCCTTCTAAGTACGGTATTTAATATCATATTCAGACAATAACATCTGCCAACGGGAAATTCTTCCAGTAAGAGCGGCTTTTCAAAAATATACTTAATTGGATCCATCTTGGAAATAACCAAGTAGTATGATTCAACATATATTTCCGCAACCGCTTTGCCGCCCAGGCCAGAGCGTAATATGTCTTCTCCAACATAGAATACCGTGACTCACAATCAGTACATTTCTTATTGAGATAGTATATGACATATTCTTTCTTTCCTGTTTCATCTTGTTGTCCCAAAATACAGCCCATAGAATTATCTAACACTGTCAGATACATGATAAATTCTCTTCCTTCAATGGGAGGGAGCAAGATAGGAGGTTCAAGCAGATACTCTTTAATACTTTCAAATTCCCTTTGGCAGTCCTCTGTCCACACACAACCCTGATGTTTCTTTAGCAACTTAAAGATCGGTTCACATGTTGCAGTCATGTGGGAGATGAATTTGGAAATATAATTCAGACGCCCAAGAAAGCCTCTAACTTGCTTTTCAGTCCTTGGCGCAGGCATTTCTTGGATCACTTTGACCTTTTCTGGGTCAACTTCAATCCCTTTATGGATGACAATAAAACCCAACAACTTCCCTGATCGGACACCGAAGGTGCACTTATTTGGATTTAAGCAGAGACGATACTTCCTCAAACGCTGGAATAACTTGAACAAATCATCCACATGCCCTTCTTCGGTCTGTGATTTGGAAATCATGTCATCAACATATACCTCAATTTCCTTGTGCATCAGATAATGGAATAGAGTTGTCATAGCCCTCTGGTACGTTGCACCAGTGTTCTTCAACCCGAAGGGCATCACTCTGTAACAGAATGTTTCCCAGGGTGTGATAAACGTTGTTTTTTCCATGTCCTCAGGAGCCATTCTTATTTGATTATATCCAAAAAATCCGTCTATGAACGAGAATACTTTTAATTTTGTTGTGCTATCAACCAGCATATCAATGTGCAACAATGGAAAATTATCTTTCAGACTAGCTTATTTTAGATCTCTGTAATCTATGCACATGCGAACTTTTCCATCTTTCTTTGGTACAGACACAATATTGGCTATCCATTGAGGATACACTGATGTCACAAGAAAATCGACATTTATCTACTTTAAGACTTCTTCTTTGATTTTTACTACCATATCAGAGTGAGTTCTTCTCAACTTCTGTTTGACGTGCGGGCACTCTGGCTTCAAAGGCAAATGATGTTCCACAATATCAATATCTAGACCTGGAATATCTTTGTAAGACCAAGAAAACATGTCCACATACACTTTCAATAGTTCGGTCAACCCATCTTCACATCAGGATGCAACGATGTTCCAATCTTGACTTCCTTTGGCTACTCGTTTGAACCCAAATTGATTGTTTCCAAAGACTCTTTATACGACTGAACGACATTTTCCTCGTGATCGAGCAACCGTGCAACCTCTTCTAGAATCTCATCATATTCTTCTTCTTCCGTCCCAAATACAAGATATTCAAAGTTGGGAGAGGGTGCAGGGTCATTATATTCAACAAGTTTATTAGTTAATCTGCACATGTGATTTATGATTGCTTTTAGAAGTTGACACATATATCAAGTGATTATGCAGATTTATTTTCAATTATTATTTTACTCAAAATGTTTTTTATTATTACCATTTTGCATGAAAAAGTAGAAAAATAAAAGACACAATTTTGAGAATTAAAGACAACTTTTATTTATGATTTTAATGATCAAAGTAAACAAATAAGCTCATACAATATTAATTTTCATCTTGGGTAGAATGAAAGCTTTTTGCAAAGAAAAAAACAAATTACTTTGAGACATGGATGCAAGAGGGAACATCATAAGTGACCCAGTTCTGGGTTCTGACTCCAGGCGTCACATAATTCGGCATTTCCTGATCTTCTTCATCCTCCTCAATAGAATTAACTCCAAAAACAGTTGAATAGAGGTAGCCTCCGCTGCAGAAAACATCCTGGTAGCTTCTCATAGTAGACTTTGACTTCAAACTTTCGCCTTTGCCATTCTTGGTAGAGAATCCTAAACCAACCCTGTTCTTGTTCACTGGAGGATCAACGACCTATCCCCATACTTTACTTGGACCATCATGCACAACTTGCTGAGCATCCTTGAATGAAGTCATATTGTTCTCATTCCCTCTTACATTATTAACAAACAGAGCCTGGAACTGCGTCCCCACAACAACTTCATCTGCTTCTACAATACTGAAAGATGATAAATGAGATATCAATAATTATTTCTCTCCACTTATAATAACCACTTTTCCTTCACACACGAATTTCAACTTTTGGTGTAAAGTGGAGGTGACGGCCTCATGTATACATGGTCTTCCCAGTAGACACTATATACAGGTGCAATATCTATGACTTGGAAAGTGATCTGGAACAGATGATGGCCTATGTGAATAGGCAGATCGACCTCCCTAATAACCGACTTTCTTGACCCATCGAAAGCTTTAACAATAATACCCCTTGGGCGCATAGGAGCCCCTTGATATTTCAACTTCATCAGCGTACTCCTTGGTATCACATTCAAGGCGGATTTGTTATCAATCAACACATTTGATAGTGAATCGCTTTTACAGTTCATGGATATGTGGAGAGACAAATTGTGATTCCTCCCCTCGTCAGGAAATTCATCATCACAAAAGCTTAGATTATTACATGATGTAATATTACCTACCACACTGCTGAATTGATATAATGTCATGTCATACTCCATGAAGTCCTGGTCCAACACCGTCATTAAAGATTCTTTATGGGCAGCAGAATTCATCAATAATGCCAAGATAGATATCTTTGAAGGAGTCTGCAATAACTGATCCACAATTTAGTAGTTGCTCATTTTGATTATCTTTAAAATATCATCTACGACCTTCTCCAGGGTAGTACCACTGGATTCCCCTGCAACCTTCTTATCTTTAACACTTTCCATAACCTTCTTACTAGTATTATCATTTCCTCGAACAACCGGTGCAAATACACGACCATTGCGGGTCACTCTACTAGTCTCAGGAATATTTCCAACACTAGACAAAGGCTGGATGGGAACTTCCACACCATCTTCTAAAATTGTAGCATTGTATTTGT